TCTCTCAACAAACTAATTTTTTATGAACTCATACACCAAGGAACTATTTCCCCAATGTTTCCTTCCAGACTACCATTTTCCAACCAAGACGTCCCTGTTTACAGTGGTTCAGGGTTTATAGTGTCAGAGGACGGATGGATCGTCACCAATGCACATGTACTGACCAATAAGCACCATATCAAAGTGGAGCTGAAAAATGGCATGCTCTACGATGCCACAATCAAAGATGTGGATCAAAAATTAGACATTGCTCTCATTAAGATCGACTCAGAGGTAAGTAATCCAAGATGTTCAAAACCTGGTCAGGGGACATGGATAAATTACTTAACCAATGACAAAATCTAGCCTCCAGAGGTCTTAAGTTCATGGTCAAAATACCTTTTGTTGCATGGAAAAAATGCTGTCTTTGCATTTTACTGCTCAGATCCACTGGTTTATCATCAGCGACTAGCATCACAGCTGCTGGAAGTAAATTAATCTTGGGGGGGCAGTCCAGCAGATGTTTCTGGAGTCAGCAAGGGCTTGTGCCACCAAAAATTAGATTCTGCTTCTTGACATGGTTAATTTGTTTTCGGATTTTCTCAGGAGAAAATTCGTCTCGGTCTTACAAATTCCAACTTTCCGCCTATTTTCACTGTGCGCTTGTGACCATGCAAGATGACATGTCTATTCGCCACTGACAGCCTGCCTTTGTAAACAGAACCAGCACAAGGCCCTGAAATATCTCCTGGCAGAAATACAAAACAGCCCAAAGAGTAAAAAAAAAAAGAAGTCCTTTCAGACTGATTTAGAACCACCTAACTCCTGAGGCCGTCTATAAAGACAAGCTTTGATCAGCAGCGTAGAGCATCCTCTGCCAACAACAATAACGTCTCGCCATAACCCAGACCATAGCAACAGCATGTAGCACAATGATTGGTAATCACTTTAATTCAGTCCCAGACTGTGTATGGCTGCCTGTGGTTTCAAAAAGGAGGAAAAAAGTGGAGAAGAAGTGCTGGGGAGGCAGATGGCAATCTGTTATTTTGCAGTGCTCAGCCCCCCGGCAGTAGCCTGCAGAGTCAAGGTTGGGACAGAGTGTAAAGGCGTCCTGCTCCAGAAGCCCCGGTAATCAAGCCTGGTGCATCAGCCTGAAGTCATAAAAATGCACCCTACAGAGCACAGGCAGGCAGGGGCAAGCTCAGTCCCAAACTGGCTGCTGGCTTCAAACATTTCAAGGAAACTTATTAGTGTCTTCTAAAAAGGTGACAGCACAGAAGTTAGTCAAGTTGTTTTTCTCTGAAAAAGACTTGTCGCGGCTGTGTGATTTTGAGTTGGAGATCACAATGAGTTGTTTCTGGAAAAGCACGAGTATTAAAAGTGTTATTTTCGATTAAAAAGGTACCCACTAACAAAATGTGTAAATGTTATTAAGAAATCCAAACAATAAAAGTTATGATTTTTGAACAAACTAACCAGCAGTCCAACAGTCTTTCCACTTTACAACTACCTATTTACAGTACAAAACGTGATGGATGAAGGTCAGAAGAAGGTATATTGAATGTTAAAAGATACAGTTCAACTTACCAACATACTGAACTGTATTTCCTCTAATGTAATCGCCCAGTCAGAGATTCAACGGCGGAAATACGTCAAACAACGTATGAACAAACATGTCACCTGATGTTACATTCACTTCAGGAAAATCATTCATAATTTGAGATGTTATAGCTAAAATATATAGCTAAAATCATAAATAGTATATTACAAATGTATGTCTATTTAATGTATGCTTGAATCAGCATTATAGAGAGAGGGAGAGTATTATATTAATATTTTGAATTAGTTTTTATTTTTATATTTTCAGTTTTCATTTTAATTTTAATTTTTAATTCTTTTTTTGTAACATTTCTATTTAACTTTTAGTATTTTTAGTAAACTACTTCAGCTTTTTTTTTCAGTTAGTTTCCAAAGCCACATTTCAAATTTTCATGTTTTTCATTTAATTTTTATATTTTATTTCATTTACCAAACTTTTTATAGTTTTTAGTTAACAATAACTGGCTTAAATAATGTTTATTTTTTTATTCTGTCAAAAGTTAACATTGTTTGGGGTGCTTCCTCAAAAATTTTTTTCTTTTGATCTGTTATAATGTGTTTGGAGTAGAAACATTAGTTATATAAAAAGCCTAAGCTATTTTTTATTTGTGCATTAAACTGTTTCATTGGTCAAAACAACTTTAAAAAAAGGGGCAGGGTTTTTTTTTCTTTGTTTACAAAAATCAGGAATCTGGCAAAATATGTATTACATGAATGAATAACACAGTATGTCTCTTTGTTTTAAACAGACTCCCCTGCAGGTGCTTTTACTTGGTCGTTCATCAGAACTGAGGCCAGGAGAGTTTGTAGTGGCTGTGGGAAGCCCGTTTTCTCTTCAAAACACAGTAACCACCGGTATCATCAGCACTACCCACCGAGGAGGTCATGAACTTGGCCTACAGAACTCTGATATGGAGTATATTCAAACAGATGCCATTATAAATGTAACCGTTCGACATGTAGACACTATCAATATAGATAGTTTAGCTGTGTGTCCATTAATATGAATAGAATGTTAATGTTTTCTTTCACAGTATGGAAACTCAGGAGGACCTCTTGTAAACTTGGTAAGAACCTTTTATTCTCCTGTCTCTTATTTGGCATTAAGTATATTTTGAACATAATTCTCTCTCTCTCAGCTGCTACTGATTTGTTTATCCCTATTTGTTTCCGGAAAACTTCCCCCAAGGTTATAACTCTTGTTTTTATTTGTGCAACATTCAATGTTGGTATTCATGGTTCCTTACTGTGCAGCATCTACTGTTTCTATGTCTGCTTCCATCTGGAAATTTTGTATACCCTGGGCAAATTACCTGCAGTGGTTTATATTATTCTATTGATCTTTGTAAAGGAAAACACAACATGTGTCCTTGAAGGAGCCTCAGGCTCAAGCAAGCATCTGGCTTTGCAATAAAAAAATATTTCCATTTATAGTGCACAATGGATACTTGAAAATATGTAAAAACCATTGCACACATGCACCATAAAACTGGAATTAAACAATGCAATAGTATCAGCAAAAAAGCTGTATTTCAAGTTGCTATGGCTTTACTATATTGTATATGTACATGTAACTATGTACATGCAAACATCTTACATTATACTTGTTTAAATAATGACCTCAATATTCCCTATTACTCCTAATTATTAAATTAAACCAAGTACACCCAGTGATCACCGTCCCTTGTGTGTCTCACGGTAGCTGTTCATTCATTGCAGTGCATTTCAATATTATGCTCCGTTTGCGGTTTCAAGGATGGGGATGTCATTGGCATAAACACGTTGAAGGTTACGCCAGGAATATAATTTGCCATTCCCTCGGACCGCATACGCCAGTTCCTTGCGGACTCTTATGACAGACAAAGAAAAGGTTTGCAAACTTCTTTTGATCTGTTTATTTGTTTTAATCTTGATTGAATTAAGTAGCTGTTTTCTTACATTTCAGGAAGAATGCTGACTAAAAGGCGATATATGGGAGTGCGAATGCTTCAACTTTCAGCTGCGTAAGTTTGATTTTTTTTTTCTTCTTCTTTTCAAATATGCTTTTATTACAATATAAAGATAAATTTATAGTTTTTTTATTATCATATTTCTTTCATCAGTTTGATCAGGGAGCTCAGAGAGAAGGAGAGCAACTTTCCAGATGTGAGCTCAGGGGTGTACGTGTATGAGGTTATTCCAGGGACAGTTGCCTTCAGGTAAAGGGATTTGCCTGCACCTCCCGATTAACCGCAACCACACCTCTTTCTTCACTCATCTAGGCCCAGAGGTTCCTTTCATACTATCATAACCTTTAGTCAAATCAAGATTTATATCCTCATCATATACCATAAAGGTCTTTACATATTTGTCCAATTAATATATTTTTCCTGTAGCACCTCTGTCCTATGATGACATTCCTCCTGTGGTATTTTTTGTTTGTTTGTATAAGCGTCTGTCATTTGAAACTTTAAGAGGTAGTTCACCTAAATATGAAAATTGTCATTTTCTCACCCTCATATCATTTTCTCACACCACTTTCTTTCTTCTGTGAAACATAATAGAATGTTGGTAACCAAACATACTTTAAATTATGACAGAATTTAAATTTTTAGGTAATTTATTTTTATGTGGATACGTTTGATTCAGCTGTCGTCTTCGAGCGCATTGTCCACTTGAACAAACTACAGATAATTAAAGACAAACACCTTGGACTCTTTATTGCTTTCTTATTTTAGATCCAAAGCCTGATCAGTTAACTCGTGCAATTAACACTCACAATACAAGAATAGTAGAATAACGAAGAGTATCACAACATTTCACATATTGCAATTTGTTTTGTAGCGCTGGCTTGGTAAACCAAGATGTGATAATCAGCATTAACGGACAACCAGTGCATTCTACAGAGGACATGAGTCAGGCTGTGCAGTCAAATGCAGTTCTTTCTTTGGTGGAGCGACGTGCTAATGAAGAAATCACACTAACAGTGGTTCCTGACGAAGTGGACTGATAAAGCTTTCTGGTGCTACATCTACATACCTCCAAACAATATATTATCCACAAACATGCATTACTTGAAAAGGGCATTATATTAATAGCATACATTATCATGAAGCGTCAAGGCCAATTATTCTTAAGTCTTATTGTTAAGATTGTATTGTTCTTCTGTATATATAATTCTGATTGAGTGTATTGTCAGTACACTACTGTTCTAGTGTCTTATGCTCATCGAGGCATTTATTTAATCAAAAATACAGTGAAAACAGTAATATTGTGAAATAATATTACAATTTAAAATAACTGCTTTCTATGTCTATATATTTTTATAACGGACGTTATTCCAGTGATGGCCAAACTGAATTTTCAGCAGTCATTATTCCAGTCCTCAGTGTCACATGATCTTTCAGAAATCATTCTAATATGCTGATTTGGTGCTCTAGAATCAAGCACTGTGTTTTGAAAGAATTATCTTGTAGTGCATGTAAACATTAAAGCTGATGATCTGTCGGGTTGTAATCCACCACACGGTCAACATACACATCGCATGCACTTACTACCTTTCAATTGTTTTCAAATATAGAGTCATTTTCACCAGACAAACAAGTCTTTGTACCCATATGATTTTATCTAAGCCAAAAATTGTGAGTAATTGGTTATTGAATAAGCACATGTTGTTTTAAAGCAATGCACTTGGATGTGTTGCAACATATCCCCAAGTGCCTAGTTTTTTCAGCAGACCAACAGTCCAATCCATCAGTAAATAATACATAATGTACAAGAAACACACAAGCCACAGAACATGAAAGATGAAATTAATAAAAAGAAAACTTTTAACAGTTTCTCACCAAATTGCGTTTTGAATGGTGTGTGAAAAAAGCCATGGGAATTCTGCCAAAGGATGCATGTTTAATAGAGTCTATTATTGTATGTATTTTTAATTGCAAGCTGTTTCATAACATCTGTCCTTTGACAGCTTTTTGTAGGCATTCAGTCTAAAACAAGATCTGTAACATCTCTGCAGCTGTTTTGGCACAGTCTGCAATCCAGCCCTGAAAACAAAACTTGATTTGATTTTAAACATTATTTCGTAATGGGGAGCATGTTCAGAAAGACCATATAACAGTAAAGGACAAAGTCAAGTGAAGTGCATTTTGCAAATATCTGACTAATTTCCTAGACGACTATGTTGTTCGTTTAATAAAAAGATCACAATCAGATCATCATAAATATTGATGTATCAATTAAGAGTTTTACTCTTCGAAGATGACATTTATTTACAACACTGCTTCACATAAACACGTAACAAAAGAAACAAGAAGAACAGTATTTTACAAATAATAAATGGTAGATAAGGCCCATGTAAGCCCACATGCATACAGTGTATTAAATATAACTTGTGAGCATGAGAAAGGTGAATCTGATACAACTCTTAAATCAGTAGAAAGTGCACCAGTTGCTGCTGTCGCTGGGGGTCAGGCCTCCTGTTATCAGGAGAATGAGGTCCACAAACCACCAGATGCCAAGACCTCCCAGGGTAAGCAGCTTTCCCACCGCAGTCCCAGTGTGCCCGAGACAGAACCGATCGACACCGAAACACCCCAGGAAAAATGAGTACAGTAGGGTGGTGATGAAGTAGTGTCCTGTGTATCTTAATAAATCACAAAGGAAAAGAGTTAATAGTGGGAATAGTTTCAAAGTTTATGTTTAATGTAAAGCTTGTGAATTGTTGCAGCTCTATTTACTGAAGGCCAGTCTTGAGATTAACAGCATAAAGTACAGTACATTGAATCTGGGATCCACAGTACTTCACTGCCCTCTTGTGGTATAGAAATTAAAAATTATGTAAGGCTTTGTGTAACTGGCTTCCATCTCATGTTTAAAAAAAAAAAAAAAATCCCTATTTGCAGGGTTCCAACGTTCTTGACCATTTCATTTCCCATGACCTTTCTAGTCAATTGTGATTACTGAATAAAGATGTATAAGACCAATTCGCTAATGAATTGTTCAGACTATTTTGTAAGCCAGTTTTGTGAACATTTCTATGGCGAGCAGTCAAGATCAGCAATAACTATTTTCCAGCTGACCATGACTAGAAAGATGCATATTTATTATAGACAATTCCATGACTAAACAAATTATATTTTTACTAAAACTAAGTGCAAATAGCCCATTTTGTTGGCAAAAGCCATATACACTATCTGGTATACACTATACACCACTGATCTGGTTGAGCCAGTTACAAAATAATGATAGTGGATTTATCTTTTGACACATATCAAAATCTCAAATGCCTTATCAGCGTTCATTTTAAATAATAAAAATAACAAAAATAATTGAAAAGTGGAAATAAAGTGCCTAATGGGTATTTAATAGGCCTATAGTTGAAACTGGATTTGATGTCCTCATGTTGATGAGGCACACTGACCGCAGACCTGGACCTTCAAGGACACCTCTATTTATCAGCAGGTTATGGGTCAAACTTAAAATAACCCCCAATCCTACTGTGTTATAATGTACTACAACACACTGAGCTGCAAATAGTATCTACCACTATTTACAATAAAATATTAATAGCATTTTTTAAAATCACTATAGCACCGAGTGAAAAGAAAACTTTTTCTTCCACTTGTGTAAAGAATTTAACATGCACATAGCCTCTGCCAAATATGATGTATTAATTTATATTATATTTCCAGTAGTGGGAACCCTTTCACTTACTTAATGCATGGCTCATTGCCTCTGAGAAATTCCCTTGGTCCAGCGCACTCTATGCCATCCAGTGCCGTGCAAAACACCAGTGTATGGTTCACATCTTTGTACGCTTGACCGCCAAACTACAAGAAAATATACGTTTTAAGTTTTTAGCTTGACTATAAACATCGTTTGGCACGCAAATTCTTAGTGCGACATATATTTACAATAAAAATGTACTTGCCTTTACACATCCATAGCCCAGTTCCTGAAAGGCAGAGACATTTCCTCCGTGATCGACTGGATCTTGACAGAATATGAATTCCTCTGGTCTAAAAAAAGATACAAGAGCACGAGATATCATATACCAGTGACGACTGGACTGGACTTCGGTGATGTTTACGCGAAACAGGCCGCGTGCTTCATAAAGATGAGATGTTTACTCACAGGTATCGACAGAGGACGACAGGGGATGGAGGGCTGTACTCATACTGCTCCGTGTGATTTGATGTTTCTGTAGGTAACGTTATAACACTCTCCGTCACTTTTTCTTCTGGCTGTTCGCTGATCAGAACTGTTTTGCTGGTCGTTACTCTGTTTCCGGGTGGCTCGGTTGAGTTTTGCGAGTGAATCCCTTCTAGACTCTGTAAAAGCAGCACTGTGAAGAGCAGCAAGAACTGTCCGAATAATAAAATATAGTTGACTGAAATCTGCGGCATGATTTCTGAACAGCAGTTAAGCTGATCGGCTAAATAATCTTCCGGCTAATGAACGCGACAGCAGCTACTTTAGCGTTACTTTGTTAGTTACATCTGTAAATGCCAGTCGACATATTACTGGCGGTTTTATTTCATAATATGCGACTTATGTACCATATTATTCTGCTACCCGTAAACAAGCTAAAACTGAGCTGTACAATAGACAACACAGGCGGCGCATGGTGATGACGTTATTTTGTGTAGCGTTACGTCATTTCATATTTATTTTCAGTGTTATTAATATCAAGAGAAATACGTAAATATACTATATATAAACAGTATTTTGCTATTAAAATTATGAAACATTGGTGGGATTAAAGTTCGCCGTCAGTTGTGCTGCAAATGTAGCCCATTAATGGGATCATTCTTTTGAGATCAGTTTGAGACTCTTTTCAAGGTAGACTACTTGATTTGATACTAACATTAAGTTAGTAGGTTTTTGGATTCCAGTATATTTTATGGATTATAGGGCACATTTAGGCATTGGGGTGGTACACATGTATAGTTGTAAACATGTAATATATGCATCATTTGAAATGTATGTAGGCCTATGTGTTATATAATTTTTAAATACATTTTAACTAAGCCCCCTACCCTGAGTGAACTTTTTATTATTATTATTCAGTAGCCTAGCAGATCTGGTTCCATCATACGGTCATGGGTGACCTCTTGTGGTGAAATGATGACCATTATAGAGATTTTGGCCACATGAAAAAAGGACTGAGGTATGTAAATGTAAAATACAAGTACTTAATGTAAAATATATATATTATTTATTATAAACCTAGTTTTAGGTGAAAAATGTAGGCTTAACTTTTAATTGATCTTCAGGAAAACGAGATTATGAGGAAATAGTTATAATAGTGATAAAAGAAGAAAAATGTAATTATAGGTCGACTCAAATGATATTGCTAGAACAGTTAGATATTGCCTATAGCCTAAAATATGCTTAAGTGAGATGTATGCTAGTCATATGACTACTTTCAATGATTAAAAAAAAAAACAAGGAGAAAAACAGTATTAAATGTATTTAATGGTTGCTCTGCAACTTCATGTATTTTACACATTTTTCACACTTTTACACAGCAGATAAAGACTAAAGAATAAATAGTATATATTAATTTTTAATCCAGATCTTCAGTTGATACATACCATAGACTTTAAGCATACCATAATGCACATCATTACAGCTGAATTTGTTGTTGTTCCTGTAGAGACATCTCTAGAGATCCCGACACGGAGTGTTTTGATCCTCATTAGGCTTTGATCTATACTCTGCTGCTGATCCAGGAGTTGTAATACCAGCATGCTCATTTGTATCAGTTTCACCATATGGTACAAAAACTGAGGTTTGTGGCATTTTTCGGCCATGCACCCACATTGGCAAAGGGTAGGGTCTGCATCGGGATCGGTGGCTAGCGCTGAAAAAGGGTGGGTCTTGAACCTGGTATGATACAGCAGAGGACGTGGCAGCAGATGTGGCCATGTAACTCTTTGGAAAAGATAAGACATTTCCATGCGCTGAGACAAGCACACCCTGAAAAAATCAGATCAAAACATTATTTTTTTTTCATATTAATTTTGTTGTTGTTGTTCAAATTTTTACATGCAAGTTAAAGTCAATAAAACAACATATTTTGTTTAGCAAAATTGTTTATTTTTTATTATTGTTTTACAATAAATAATTGTATTTCTATTTCTTTTTTAGTGATATTCAACTAAATTGGCTTACATCATAAATGATCAACCTACCTGAGAGGTTGTTCTGTGCTGCTGCATGCCAATAAATCTTTGTTGTGAGGATGGGACTGAAGTGGTGTAATCTTGACCCTCCCCTTCATTTGACCTTCTAGATAACCAAGGACCAGTTGTTTCAGATGCCAAAAACGGAAGTGTTCCAACATAATTAAACTGGCATAAATTTGACAAGACATGTGGCGGCACACACAGAGAATTAATTAGGCCAGGAGTGGGGATGCAATAGTGCCGAGTGAGCGAAGCCTTCTGAGAAACGTCAGTCACATCATCTGCAAACTTGTGTTGTTCAGCATGTTTTCTATCCAAGGTTAAATGTTCAGTACCCTCTTTACTATGCTTTTCTTTGCTGTTGACCCTCATGTTCCTTTCTCCTTGTATCTCCTCTTTTGAAATGCCCTTGGACTCTTGCACCGTTGTTGAGATTTCTGTGGAATTTTGCTCATCTTGAGAAATTGAATGCTTTCCATCTTCATTGCTTTCGTCACTCTCATTCGTATCTGTAGAATAAATATCTCATAAATGTGTGTTAGGAATAGCAAGAATAATATCAATAATAAAACAGAGAATAAAAGCAAATTAATATCGTAAGTATAAAACTGTATATATATATATATATATATATATATATATATATATATATATAAACTTGTTTACAATAATAAACAGTTTGACATTTATTATAGATTGTTATAAAGTATAAATATAGATTTAGTATAAATCCCAACCGAACACCTGTTGAAGTTGATGTAACGACAGTCGTTTCTTGAATTAAAGGATTTGATGAACTTTGGTCAAAAGACGAGTCGTCTGTGAACACATTGGCTTTTTTTGGTGCCACATCACACCTCTGATGCATCATCTGTTTCCTAATTATCGAAAAATACATATGTCAGTGGATAATAAAATTATTATTTTCAGACAGTGCTGCTCAAAAGTTCACACTGAAAATCTGAGGTTTTAAAATCTAATTTAAACCTGGAAATAAAGAAAATGTATTCAACAAAAAGCATGATATAAATAAGAAGACAAAGAAACATGATGTAAATAAGAAAGATTTTGCACTAATCAAATAATAAGTACATTTGGAATATTGATCATGTGAACAATTTCTTTTTTCAAAGGTCAGATTTGCTTAGTACAATGTGCTGTTTGAATCATTCTCAGATAATGCTGGAGAATATGATCACAAGTGTGTGTTCTTGTAGCTCCAGTACTGCTGTCTTCAAAGCAAAAGGGGACAGTCTCTGACATTAACTTTGTTCAGTTCAGCTTTTCACTTCAGTATGCTGATAATATAATTTGTTCTGGAAAAAGACATTTAAAAGCTAAATGCATTTTAGAAGTGGACTTTTAATAAGGACTGTATAGGCATACATCTGAAAGAAAAAATACCTTTTCTCTCGTCTCCCATTTCCGGTATGTCGGAATCCTTTCGCAAATGGGTTATTATCGATTTTCAGCTGAGTTATCTGTAAAGGTTAACATATTAATGAAGATACCACATGTGTGAAAATTGTTTACAACTTTATTAGGCTAATATGTGGTTTGTGTCTTCGATGAAACATTTGAATCTGTCACCTTTTCGTTTTGGTATGCTGTCACAGCGATAAACTCTGTCTCAGGAAACACGTAGGTTTTGAATGTGCTGTAAGGAAGTTTGAGGATGTCGTTGGCTCGAACGATATGAAACCTCGGCTGATATTTGTGCATGGAGTTTAATATGGTCTGCAAAACAAAATCAAATCATTTTGCATACTCATTTCATGATTATAATTTTTTTTCAAACAATAATTAAAAGAAACATTTCTGTTCAAATTACACAAAATTAGGCCTACTTTTAAATCTTTTTTTTTTTTGCACATTTAGAAGAAAAAAAACGTGCTGCTCGCTACATGCAACTTGTTAAATGTTGTAGCGCTTGTTAACTTAGGCTGCTTGCTTATTGGTGACAAAAAATATATAAATTATTTTGAGGAGAAATTTACACTAAAAGTCGTCCATAAATTGTGAATCGCATCTACGGTATTAAATACTCACAAATCCATGTTTGTCAGATATATTGTTCGTCAGTTTGAGCTTATGAAAGGTCACAGCTTTGGACATCCATTGCTCCCCGGTAGCAGGACTGTCCGGGTGGATGTACATTCGTTTGGGCATTTCTGGATCGGCCTTTCCAGCCACCATCCAGCGAGAGTTGTGAAACTTATATCTGTAATCATCAGCAGCGACTATATCCATCAGCAGGATGTACCTCGCCTTCCTGTCCAAGCCGCTGCAGCGCACTTTGAATGCTGGAAACATGCGCCTCAGAGAAGCAAAAGACGTTTTACTCGTTTACAAGTGTTCAAGTCAAAATACATAGTAGCCTAACTATTAGAGAAATAAACAGCGTGAACAGTAATAGCTCATTGCCGTCCATGCAACTTTTCAAAAAAACTCTTTTTAAACACTCCTCGCGGAGACTGGTCTTGGTAAATCACCTTCTTACCTTCCAGACTTTGTTATTACCATCTCCGTGCCGCTTCTGTGAAACTGCCCCCACAGTTCCTTGCCTTCCAGGTGAACCACGGGGTCATCCGCAGGTGCAAGTCCAGTGTCTCTGGTCTCCACAGAGAGGTGCGCTGGAGACGCGGCGTCTTTGAGCGCCAGACGAACCGAGTTATGGAGCACGTTCGCAAGCTGTTTCCCGTATCCAACAGGAAAAAACTGGGACTGCTGTCCAAGCATCGAACTAATAGTGAGGTCAGTAGGACTGGCCGGTATAAAGTGGTGATACGCCATTCTCTCAACTTGCGCTGTTTGTGGGGTTATTTCATAACGTCATCATCACTAATCACTTCATCCTCACAGTGTAGGTAGCTAATAACTCCTCTCTGAAGTCTTCAGCTTATGTGGAATCATGCTGTTTTCAGTATGTCAGAAGTTGCAGTTTGTCAAAATGCATCTCGCCTTTTTCATCCATTTTCATGCTTTCATGGCTTTGTCCTGTTGAGTGAAGAACCCAACTGCAAAGACCGTGAAGGTTGTTTTATGGGGTCTCGTGCGCACAGATGGTGAACCCTGGGGACCTTATGCCGGATCTCAGGACACTGAGGACAGCATGGTGGTTTGTTGTCGGGACGGGTCAGTCAGGGGTTTCTGATTGGCTCCGTGGACACATCCAACCCAATTGTGCTTCGTAAGGGCGTGGTAAATCGATTTTATAAAGAATCAACTGCGACAAAGTGATTTGATACAAATGGAGCATCAGCTGTCTAGATTTTAGTGTTGCTCATGCTTGTGAATAAAGAAAAGAAAGTAGGGCAGATTGGGGCTAGTTGTCACACAAAAGTCCAATTACAGAGAATAATTTTGTGTATTCAAAAAGCTTTTAATTTTTTATTTTTTTTTGTGATGACATCTAAACGAAAAGTCCCTTATATTATTTTTGCTAGTTGGCAGTTTAAAAATTTAAACACACAATAAAACAATAAAACTTAATAAAAGAACAAATTCAGGATTTAGTCAAAAAGTTTAATGTAAACAACTTATTAATTACAATTTATTTAATTACAGTACAAGCAAAATATATATATATTTGTTACCATTTACATTGTTGCCGTTTTGTTTCATGATTTGTTATTTTGTTTCATTATTCTGATGTTACTTTATACATTAAAAAGTAGTCCTGTTCTAATGGCAGTATACTGTCTGTAGAACAAACAGTGGGACATATACAATTTTATATATATATATATATATATATATATATATATATATATAACATATTTTAAATAATCTAATATATCTTTTTTTTTTTACAGTGGTTCCTTGTCAGATAAACGGCTTGTCTTCCACAGAGGTATTCATTTATTTCCCTGTAGTTATTCCTAATATTACTTGAATTCGTTGCTAATTTAATCTAGTAACATTTATTTTTGACAGACTGATAGACTTGAATTATGGCTTTACACTGAATTAATGTATTTGTAAAATTCTTTTTTAAACTGCAAATGCCTAATACCAGGATTGAGTGCGTGTCAGTGTTAAGGAATAAATTACAGTTTATCTAACACACGGTTACACCTGCTACATGGTACTCACACCTTAAACGTGCTGTTAGTGCCTATTTGTAATTATACATTGCTAGAAGATAAACACTAACAACTGAAAACTAACAATTACAATGTTTATCTGAGGTGTGAGAAAGTATCATTTTTACTTGTTTGAGCAAGTTCTGTTCTCTTCCATGCATAGAGTGTGACAGAGAGCTGACGGTGGTGGCATATAACACTTCTTCAGTGTGGGAGGAGGTGAACAGATTAGGTCAGAGGGTCTCCTGGTCTCCGGGACATGAGGGATCTCAGTGGGCTGCGAGCTCTGGGGATCAGCAACCGTGGATGGAGATTGAGCTGTGGAACAGGAGTAGTGTCACAGGTCATAGGTCAACCACTAATAATCATTGCACAGTAAAATAAACAGAAGCACAATAAGAAAAAATCTAATGTTCACATCTGCTTTCAGGCATCATAACAAAGGGTACACCGCATTACTACATCGAATCTTACACCCTCATGTTCAGCAAAGACCGCAAGAACTGGAAAGTCTACAAAGCAACATCCAGCAAAGATAAGAAGGTATGTAATGCTGCATCAGTAAAAGTTTCAACACGATTACGGTTTTAATAGATTTACATAGGATAGGCAAATGAATAAACAGCGCAAATGGGCACAGGAACACATTCTTTGTGAACAGACCCTAATTTTATATACATTACTAGGTATTTATTTTATAATATAAATAACTCGGGGCCCTGCATCATATTAGCTGAATGAGTTCCATCACGTTTCTTACTAATTTCGGGGTGCCGATTTCAAAAACAGTGCCTGTTTTGCTCTAGCATGTCACACTTGCTCACAAAATATGTGCATTTTGTAGCATTTTTGCTTTTAACAAACATTTATAAGGTGAAGCCTTGTATTATTCCTTAATCACTAGAAAAACAGCCATAAAGACATGATTCCTATCTTCCTCTGAGCCGGGTTACAATTATTTGTTCAATTCTTAGCTGATTTTTTTTACATGAATGAATGATTCTGAAGACATTATTTTATGCCAAATCTTGATTTCAAGGTCAGAATTATGGCAGTGACAGATGAAAAATCTAACATGACCCAGATGTTTTCTGCTACATTTGTGGGTGTTTTACTACATCCAAACAGTGGATTCATCCAAACAGACTTTGTGAAGAAAATAAAAAAAAACTCGTGTTTATGTGAAGTTCATTCACATTAAATTGAGTATTTGAACATTTTTTGCCACTCCTTTTTTTTTGTTTTGTTAAATTGATACAAATGATGCAGATTGTTAAATTATACTTTTTGAATCATTAAAATGGAAATGTTTGACAATTGACATTTTGATTAGTGCATTAAAGCAGATTCATACATATTATTTGAAAAATCATCCTTATTTTATTAAAAATAAAACTGATTTTTTAAATCATTTTTTGCCTTTTGATAAAAAATGTCAGTATGTTTCATTTTCACATTAACTTTTTTTTTCTTTTTTTAAGGTGTTTGAGGCCCATTCTGATGGTCATGTGACGGTACTCAACAGTCTGATTCCTTCAGTAGTTGCACGCTACCTCCTCGTGAAACCCCAGAAGTGGCATATCAGGGCCTCTGCGCAGGTTCAAGTGCTGGGCTGCCCTTCTGCCCCCCTCAGACCCCGTTCCCACGGAGATGGTGAGGGTCCGCCCCAGAATCTCTTTTAAGTTCCCTTATGCCACATAAATTTCAGTTTAAACATTTTTATAGTACATATTGACGATAAAAGACCATTGTATTGGTCAAATTCCAAGCGCACTATGGTAAATCTTGTAAGAGTTAATTGAATTCTTGTCTTTTAAACCTGCGATGAATTCTCTCCATCAGAATTGAATACTGGGAAAGCAGTTGTCACAGAGACTGTGCCTCTAGACACGCTGCCCACTGAGGGTCCTGTCATCACAAGAAGCTCAGGTGAGGTGAATTTTGTAAGGTAATCCACTAATATGATTGCTCATAGTGGATCTGTTTCTAAAGGCTAAATCTTTTATTATGATTTCCATACAGGCCCCAGCCAAGCAGTGATATTAGTGGCAGGCATGGTTTTGGGAGCTGCTCTGTGTGTGGGTTGCCTTCTAGCTGGGCTTATTTGGTGGAGAAGGTAACACACTAATTGTTCCTTATAAAGAATTACTTGATTTATTCTTATTTTTTATTTAAAGATTTATTTTTGGCATTTTGCCCTTATTAAGATAGGATAGTGTAGAGTAGACAAGAAGCAAAGTGAGAGGGATTGGCTAAGGTCCTCGAGCCGGGATTCGAACTCGGGACGCCCGCAACGCAACAGTGTTATATGTCAGCACACTGCCCACTAGGCTATCAGTGCCGACAATTTATTATTATATTTCTATTAAAACCAAAAAGTGGAGATATGTAACCAAAAACAGTACTGTTACAGGTTGTCACTGCAACCAGAAAAAATCAGAATATTTCTAGTTTTAGTCTCTAATTTTTCCAACATCACAGTAATTGAGCTATTTTACTGGGCTCAAATAAAGCAAACAATTTGAATGGTCCTAAAAATAGCTATGTTTTCATTAAGGAAAATCAAAGGGAGGGTTTATTTACTATACCATAAATATGATTGGTTAAATAATTCAGGCAAGGTGTTTAAATGCTGCGAATTGTAATATTTTTGATACATATCTAAAACATAAAATATGCACGAGTTGGAAATGTATGATTCTGTTCCATAATTATTCTATAAGAAAATGTTTTGCAAGATGTTATATTAAATGTTATTTTACCTTAACCTGTGGTTTGCAAAAAAAAATGTTGTATCATTTGTTATGCACTATTGTATTAATGCTATACTCAGTAATTTGGCATATGCTTTTGTATAATTTTCCTTAATTTATAATCATTTTTTTTATGATATAATATTAATATTACAATATCAGTGTTATATCCCCATGTAATATTTGGGTTAATTTCATTTTAACGTCATACAATCGTTATTTTAATTTGGAATTTTTATTATACAGTATATGTTTTTCCTTTTTAAAATAAAAAAATGTATTAAATAGAAAATCTAAATGTATTTTTTCCACGCTTTTTATTTTGGGGCCTGTACATATTCTTGACATATTCGCGATATTTGCCCATGTTTGTATTTCAGAAAAAGAAACGCACAAATAAAGAAATGCTGCGTTGACCAAGGTAACGTTTTGCACTGTCTCTCTAGTACAGTTTTTCCTGTGTCCTCCGTGTGTTGTTGGTATTTCCTGACTGACTTTCATTGTCTCTGCTTAAGGCTGTCAGGGTTTCCACGGGAAGAAGCTTCCATGCACAAACCCAGAGCTTGTATCTTACCCTCTGGTTCGGAACATCCACGATGCTCTTCCCAACCCTCCTCACAATGGTAAGACATCCACAGGGCTTTTCAACCCAGTATAGCAATGAATACCGAAATTCATGAAGGAATGTTTGAAACGACAAACGAGACAAGGCAGTGTTTGTCGAGAGGACGCCGCTGGGTACAACAGTTCTCAGAATCAGATCAACAGCCCTCAGACATCGCAGTAATATATAGCAGTGAATAAGAGGGTTAATGTGGCTCAAACAGCAGGACGGAAACAGAGAGAAAGCCAAGTAGTCATTCTGACCCCTTTGTTCGCTCGCCCCGCCCTTACGATGTGGGCATATATATATATATATTGGCCTAACTGGTGCTCTCTTTAGGACTGTCACATTAAATTACCCCTCCCACTCACCTCCCACACGACCACCCATAATCAATCTTACATCTCTAATCTAGATGCTTGATACAAAAGCACCAAACAGCACAACCACAATATACAGTACAACTTGGGAAACTCTTTCCCTCACACATTCTCATAGTGAAGTTTTGAGTGGGTACCCTTAAATAAGTCCCGTCTTTTCTTGCTCCCAGACTCCGTCCCGTAATATCATGCTGTGCCATGAGTGGGAAGTGACTGAGGGTTCAGCTGATGTATGCTTTTGATTGTCTTGGCTGGATTAGTGAGTGTATTCAGTTACACGTTTTTATTGCAGAAGAGTTTTGGCTGCACATTCCACGAAGGCTCAAAAACGCCACAGTGGACTGAGTGAGACCAGCAGGACACAAGCCTCTTGAAACCATCAGTTGTGTAACTTTGTAATCAACACAAACTATTTTCCTTTTCTTGATGTCTACAATCACATATTGAAAGCTAAACCACTCCTACTAGTCATTTATAGATATCAAGCTTTGATGTTTTTTGAAGGATGTGGCCAAACTTTCACGGCGCCAATTTGACAGTCCATGTAATGGGGAAGCCCCATCAGACGCTCCATTTCGAGGTTTTTAATGAGGATCTATTTCTGTTTCTGCTCAAGGCATCAGCACTTAGCACAGTTTTTTTCTTAGTGGGGAGGCTAACTGGCGTCACTTTTGTGTTGTTTTTGTATTAGTGTACAGTATAGTGTAAAATGCCTGACAGCACATTGCTTCAGTATCAGTGCTGGGTTACATGTCCTGCCTAACATGTTCATTTAAATGCAGGTTGTCTGGTGCAATTTTTCCTGTCTCTCATCTCAGAGATTTCTATATTGTATCATAAACAAAAATTAGCCTAGTAGTACACACTAACGTTCAACCATTTCATTTTTTAATGTTTTGAAAAGAAGTCTCTTATGCTCACCAAGGCTGCATTTATTAGATGAAAAATACATTAAAAACAGTCTATTCTATAAAAACAATTTTCTATTGTAATATATTTTAAAATGTAATTTATTCCTGTGATGGCAAATCTGAATTCTGAATTCGCAGCCACGACTTCAGGTTTCAGTGCACGATCCATCAGAAATCATTCTAATATGCTGAAGAAAAAAAAACCTTTGGAAAAATGTTGAAAACAGTTGTGGTGCCTAATATTTTTGTGGAAACCATGATGTATTTTTTTCAAGGTTTTTTTTTTGATGAATATAAAGTTCAAAAGAATAGATTTTTTAACTTTAATATCTTTACCGTCACTTTTGATCAATTTCATTCAAACACTTGATCTATATCAATATAAGGGTGGTGAAAACTCTCCTCACAGAGATACAGCTTTATTTTCGAACATTGCCTACATTCTGAAGCATTTCAATGATTTCACGCCCTGCTTCTATAATGGGTAAATCTGTGAATTTATATGACGCTGTTCTATGACAGCTTTATGTCCAGCTTTATGTCCTGTGTTCAGCTGCGCTAACATGGTGGCTGCGAGTACAGAGAAAGATCCACACACCGGATTATGAGAGATATGCCATCTGCGGCCATCCACTACTGATGACCCAATCTTTATTGGGCAAAGAGCATCCCTGGCTGTCAATCATCCCTACTTCAAAGAGGGAGCGGGCAGAGAGCGGTGGGAGGGAGAGAGCGCTGATGCCAGTCTGATATTTGTGAGAACACTAACAGGCATTGTATGTAACGTAACACCGAGGATAAATAGTTGCTTTAAACTGCTCCACCAGGCAGTACTGACCATTGAAGTGTGGCTGGTTGGGAAGCGGTGAGGTTTTAATGCTACATTTTTTGGTTTGTAATGTTATAGTTTCATCTAGATTTTACCATTGCATAAGCTTTGTGCTATCTTTTAAAATAATCATTAAAAATTTGTTGACAGCATGAGCAGTCTGTATTTCATTCATGCATTTTTTCCCCCCCTAACATTCAGCTCACAAATCTGAAGAGACAACCTTGAATAGAAGGATTTCAATAAAGCATTATAACAGTAAAAAGTAGCAATTCATTTTGAACTTGAGCCGAACAATTTGCAGATGTGAAGGTGAAGGGATTCGGGTTTGTGAATATATCCAAGAGGAAAACGCAATTACTTCATGTGAGTAATTGGGGTTACTTTCCTCCAGTGAACGAGCAATGAGTGGCCTCAGTGTGGCCATCTCTCAAACACCTCAGCTGTTTATTTAGAGGGGCTGTGATGAATAGTCGGCCGCTGACAGACTGGTGCGACTGGACATGTTTGGACTGTGGAGGTGGGAGGAATGTAGTTAAACAGTGGCACTGAGAAGGTGTGAGGAGAGAGAGAAGTTGAAACGGAGCACAGCATGCTGTCCAATAGATGGTACTGTTCTGGAAACAAAAACAGTACAGGCAGGATTGCCCCCACCCCATATTTTTAAATGATGCACATTCAAGATTAAGTAAACCGTAGAAATCAGCACATCGCTTCAGACAGGTTTTCTGGGAGCAGATCCAGCAGCAGATGAATGAGCACTGAGCAAATTAAAATAAATGATTGATTGTCCAGCGAGTCTGCAGTCATTAGTGTGATTCGGTTTACATCCTAATGAAGAACACTTTGTTTCATAAGAGATATATTAAATGCTATATAATAAAATAAATGCTGTTCTTTTGAACTTTCTATTTATTAAAGAGTCCTGATGAAAATATATATCATGATACCACAAAAATGTTAAACAGCACCATTTTTATTTTTCAACAGTGAAAACAATAAAAATGTTTTTTGAACAGCTAATCAGCATATTAGAATAATTCATTTGACATTGAAGACTGGAGTAATAGCTGCTGAAAATGTAGCTTTGCCATGACAGGAATTCATTTATAATACATAACAATAGTCGGGGAAGTTGTGGCCTAATGGTTAGAGCGTCGGACTCGTAACCCAAAGGTTGTGGATTCGAATCTCGTACCAGCAGGGATTGTAGGTGGGGGGAGCGAATGTACATCGCTCTCTCCCACCTTCAATACCATGACTGAGGTGCCCTTGAGCAAGGCACCGAACCCCCAACTGCTCCCCGGGCGCCGCAGCATTAATGGCTGCCCACTGCTCTGGGTGTGTGTTCACGGTGTGTGTGTTCACTGCTGTGTGTGCACTTAGGATGGGATAAATGCAGAGCACTAATTCCAAGTATGGGTCACCATACTTGGCCACATGTCACAGTCACTTCACTTTAATAGAAAAATAAATATTTAGTAGATCAGAGAGTTCAGTCTATGAGATACACACATTTGAAGATGATTAGTTTCTGACTAAATTAAATATTCTGTCAGTAAGGATTTGAGCCTTTGAGAACCATTCTCAGCTTTTCTTCAATCTTTTTAAAGAATACTTGCATTTGAAAAAGCTAAACATTTGTCCTACTTATTTGTCATGATATTCTTATACAATTGGATCTATTATTGTTACATCAATCTTTAAAGGTTCAAGTTCTTATTCCCACTCTAAAGAACAAAATAAATTATTGAAAATAAATTAGAGCCAGCAGAGCCCATGGTGAACATTTTTTTTATTATTATTACATTTTTTATTTTATTATTATTTTGTGATCCGTATTTTCATAGACCACAAAACCAGTCATAAGGGTTCTTTAAAGGTTCAAGTTCTTATTCCCACTCTAAAGAACAAAATAAATTATTGAAAATAAATTAGAGCCAGCAGAGCCCATGGTGAACATTTTTTTTATTATTATTAAATTTTTTATTTTATTATTATTTTGTGATCCGTATTTTCATAGACCACAAAACCAGTCATAAGGGTTAAAAAAGGGCATTTAAGATTTTATATATCATCTGAAAGCTGAATAAATAAGGATAGGACAATATTTGGCCGAGATACAACTATTTGAAAATCTAGAATCTGAGTGCAAAAAAAAATCTAAATATTGAGAAAATCGCCTTTAAAGTTGTCCAAATGAAGTCCTTAGCCATGCATATTACTAATCAAAAATTACGTGTTGATATATTTATGGTGAGAAATTTAGAAAATATCTTTATGGAACATGATCTTTACTTAATATCCTAATGATTTTTGGCATAAAAGAAAAATTGATCATTTTGACCCATACAATGTATTTTTGGCTACTGCTAATATACCCGTGCTACTTATGAATGGTTTTGTGGGCCAGGGTCACATATTTGAAGATGATTAGTTTCTGACTAAATGAAATATTCTGTCAGTAAGGATTTGAGCCTTTGAGAAACATTCTCAGCACTTTCAGGTTAATTGCTAATCTTTTTAAAGAATACTTGCATTTGAAAAAGCTAAACATTTGTCCTACTTATTTATTATATATATTTTTTTATATTGTGTTCTCATGATATTCTTATACAATTGGATCTATTATTGTTACATCAGTCTTTAAAGGTTCAAGTTCTTATTCCCACTCTAAAGAACAAAATAAATTATTGAAAATAAATTAGAGCCAGCAGAGCCCATGGTGAACATTTTTTTTATTATTATTTAATTTTTTATTTTATTATTATTTTGTGATCCGTATTTTCAAACAACAACAAAAAGACTCACGACAACCAATACTGTTCTGAAGGTTATTTCTGTGAATTTCTTTTGAGAAATGCTTTAATTGTTTGGCGATGAGAAAAACATCTTATGC